GTACTTATAGTTATAGTCAATGTGTCGTGGTGGCCCGGAGGTTTAAGACGCTCGTCTCTCATGCATGAGGGTGCGGGTTCGAAACCTACCAATGGCAAGTACCAATGTGACTTTTTCCGAGTTATATATTATACTTTCTAAGATTATCTAGACACCACTAAGGAAAACATCGTGAGGAAACCGAAGGAGTTTGTAATCGCCAACCCGCATTGAGCAAGCGTGGTGATTAATGCTCAAACCTTCTCCGTGTGAGAAGAGGCTTTGCTCAGCATTAGGCACTTATAGGCTGTTGATGATGATGTTCTTATAGTGAATACGTTTATTGATTCTGCAGTTCATTTGTTGCACCTGCGATAGCCGCAGTCTCTAACGCCTAAATGCAAATTGGCAAAGAATATCCGTGGTATTACTTTTATGCCCGATTTTTCAATCATCAGTTAAAACTTAAATGTAGAATAAACTTGACAGTTTTTAGTAGCAAAGAATTGTTAAATATTCTATGGTTGTGTGATTTGCTCTATGGTTGTATGTCGCCTGCGTATAATGTTTTGTTTACTTAATTTATTTGTAATATTAGCTACTTCCGCGCGGTTTCACGCGCTCTGCTCAGCTCCTATTGGTGGTAGCGTGATGTTTTATATTCCATAGACATCCTCGATAAATACGCTATCCAACACAAAAAGAATTATTCAAATCAGCCTTGTAGTTACGGAGATTAGCGCGTTCAAACAAACAAACAAACAAACAAACAAAAAAGCAAACTCTTCCGCTTTATTAATTAATAGTATAAGATTTTCATCATGATCTTTCCTCTCTTGCCTATCCCAATCCAAGGTTACACAACCTGGTTTTACCCCCTCTTGTTCATATGCTAGACCTTCCCATCGTCTGGTCACGTCATAAGAATAATTCGTTAACCCTTTACCACGGGTTTGTATTCCATTACGGCCCTCCCCTCGGAGTTTGCACAAAATTTCTTTTACCATCTCTCAGTGACACTATCATGGCAGATATAGCCGCAAACATAGAAATAGGTCCAGCCCTACCAGGTGTGGTGATTCCGTAAGGGCAACCCGGGTCAGTGAAGAAACACCGCCGTGGTTTTAGCCGATGAGCCCCCCCCCCCCAACGTCCCTACAACGTGAGAAGTACACGAGGATTCCCAACGCGTTACAAAAAAAAATCTTCTTTCACACTCCTTTATCAAACGTCGCCCTATCACAAATCCAATCATTATTTTGTCGCAAATTTCTCTGCACCTTTTATATTTTATCGACAATATAAGTGTATTAAGTAGGTATGTGTATATTTTTATATAGAATCACACTTAGTTCCATGGTAACACTGTAATAAATATTGACAAATGTACAAAGTTCAAATTCAATATGACAACGGACATTTTTAAAATAAGGTACTTAGGCCTATTTTGAATTTCATATTTTGTCAATTTACTCTTTATAACCTTCGAAGCATGACGTTTTTTATTTATTATTTTAAAAAAAGCTGGGACATAGATCGTTTGGATAGTTTCTATGAGCTGCATTTTCATTTGTAACTACAGTCTTATGTGAAAAAAGTGCACGTACTAATGTGACTTTTTCAGAGTTAGGTATTAGTAATTTCTAATATTATTTAGATAATTATCAGTGACAAACAGTAGGAAAACATCCTAAAGAAACTTGGACTTATAATTACTAAATTTACCAACCCACATTGAGTAAGCGTGGCGATTAATACTTCTTTTTAAGAACCTATTCCGTATTAGAAGAGGCCTTTGGTCAGCAGTGGCCACTTATATATTATGGCTGTTGGCATATATGGCTGTTGATGTGTTGAAGTCCAATGTATTGTGAGCCCTATATAAAAGTCCTAAGCAGTATAGTCACATTTATTGAGTCACACCACTTACAAAACTTTGCCAAATCCACAAATCATACATCATACCACCCCTGAGTTTTTTTTTTAATTATTTAAAACGAAGGCAGGAAGGTAAGTGCTTTCTCCGATTGTAAAATGGAACGCAAGACCTCTTGCTTGGTATTTGCACCTACTAACACTTGACAAACAAGACAGTAGGTATGTTGTTAGCCCGAGTGCAGTTAATAAAAACCTTCTCAGTCGAATGATTGTGCGACCTCTTTTTTTTAAGGGGGGAAAATCATCGAATGACTGCTCCCGCCTGGGTGAGGCGGGAGTGTTTGTCAGACTCTTACTGACTAAAAACCACCCCGTTCCTTCTCCTGCACGTCGAGCCGGAGCCCCGGTTACCCGTTAGGCTCTCCGCGACTTGTGCGACCTCTAGCTAATTTTAATGATGTAGGTAAGTTACACCGAGGTAGCTGTGCATTACGCATGCAATAACGTGAGCACTGACGTCATCACTTGGGACTCATAAAAAAGTACCAAAATGTAATCAATACATAGTATAAAACAAAGTCGCTTTCGCTGTATGTCCGTATGTATGCTTAGATCTTTAAAACTACGCAACGGATTTTGATGCGGTTTTTCTTAATAGATAGAGTGATTCTTAAGGAAGGTTTATAATATGTATATACATATTGCACCCGTGCGAAGCCGGGGCGGGTCACTAGTAATAAATAAATTAAAGAATTTTGTAGTTTCTTTGTGTGTGAGTACCTACTTGCCACCTACTCGAATTAAATACTTTTTTCGATCTGCCAAAAACGACAGTTTTAAAAATTTTTTGTACGAGATTGTGTATTGTGACGTCGCGTTGATTTAGTGTCAAACGGCATACTCATTTCTTTAAAAATGCTGGAAAATATACTTATTATAAAATCAAGTTGGTCATAAAATCAATTAACGAACAGTCGAAATGATTTATTTTTGATTACGGAAAGTACCGAAGTGTAAAAAAATAACTTTGTTTTTTCTAGTAACTACAGTATAATCTCACTAATCCGGCACTTCGATAGATCGGCACCTCCAATAATCCAGCACCCTTTGCCCACGCCTCCCTCACCCCTCTATACCTGTGCGCTTTGGTCTCTTCGTCGTCGACTAGCAGTCTAACCTCAAAACTAATCACGTGCACGTGCTAACGTATTTGTTTTCTAAATCTAGTTAATTACATATGTACTTACGTTAATTTAAAACATTACATACATTTATTCTCTCTATGAAATGCTTTACTTTATTTATTACCTATGACTTTTTCTGTACAACCCAGTAATCCGAACATTCCAATAATCCGGCACCCTCCGGTTTCCAATAGTGCCGGATTAGTGAGATTACACTGTACATTGTTTTCACGTCTCATGACATGAGATGTGATGATTTACTATCATTGTCATGGTTCGTATAGATATAGCTGCGACAGCTACATCTAAATGAGCCGGTTGTGAGCTACCTGTCTCTAAAGCAAGATTCAAGGTGCAAGTCCTTCCTAGTGTAATATTTAAAAATAAAATATAGTGAATCCATTCTGACTCATCGTACACAATAATAATTATTTATTACGAATAATAAAAACCGATGTCATAAATTAAAAAATAGATATAATTCTTTTATAAACCACGTTTAAAAAAAAATTGCCCCCAAATCCTCCCTCCCTTTTTTAAATCATCTATTTTTTTGACGGGGAAAATCATCCAAATACTTCTCCCGCCCAGGTGAGTCGAGAGGGAGTGTCAGACTCTTACTGACTAAAAACCACCCCGTTCCTACTCCTGCACATCGAGCCGGAGCCACGGCAACCCGTTAAGCCCTCCACGGCTTCGAAATCGTCTCATACTATAATTTTCTCCTACATTTAATAAACACGTTACCTACTGAAAACCGCATCAAAATCGGTTTAGCCAATCGTGAGATCATATCACACAAACATGTACACATACTTACAGGTAAAGAGATATCATTAATTATATTTTACTAGCTACTTCCGCGCGGTTTCACACGCTCTGCTCAGCTCTATAGCCATCGTCGATAAATGCGCTATCCAACACAAAATAAATTATTCAAATCAGTCTTGTAGTTACGGAGATTAGCGCGTTCAAACAAGCAAACAAAAAAACAAACTCTTCTGCTTTATATAATAGTATAGGATATAAGATGAATAAATTTTGCAATAAATAATCATAGTTTAGGGTTTTATGCTATACCTCTAGTTTTATTGCCATAAAAGTTAAAAGGCTAACAATATTAATTACCGTTTGCCATGATATTTTCACATTTTCCTCATTATAAAAGTACTGTCTGTAACAATTTTGCATCTAAATTACTTATTCGAATTTGATAAAATAAATTCTAATAAAAAGACCTTGAAAAGAGACAAGATTCAGTCCGATTTTTTGGGAGATAAATTTATTATCGATGACTTCTTCTGCGCTGAAGTAAGCGCAGTGTCAGACTATTACTGACTAAAAACCACGCTATTCCATCTCCTGAGGGCCAAGCACGAATAACTATCGCATTCGTATCGTAACAGTATCGAGCGAGTTAAGCGTTCTGATTGGTTGATTCACTTGAGCCGGCCAATCAGAGCGCCGAACGCGCTCGATACTATTACGTTACGAATGCGATAGTTATTCGTGCTTGGCACTCTGGTCTGAGCAGGGGATGACGTGTGTCGTTGCATTTGACCTGACTTTTTGAGGCGGGAAAATCCAATGACTTCTCCTTGGGTGAGGCAAGAGAGAGTGTCTGACTCTTACTGACTAAGACTACCCCGTTCTCTACTCGTGCTTTGAGCCGGAGTCCCGATAACCCGTTAGGATATCCGCAACTCCGGCCTAAACACTATTTTACACAAACCAAATGTATTTTAATCCTCCGATTCTCGATCTCGATCTCGATCCTCCGGTCAGGCGAGGTGATCGTGCCTGGTAGGCTTTCTGCCTAACAGATGTTCGTTGGGATTTTCTATCCATGTTAATTTGCACGTAAACTTTGCATGTGCGATGTAGGATTTTTGTGACGTCATCCATTGACACGTAACATGTGTCGCCACTATCAATCAAAAATAAAAAACCAGATCCTTTATAAACAAAACTGCTATATTTATCCCAATTACCAACCAAGACTTAATAAATATTTTTTAATCTACACACAATGTCTTGAAGGAGCCTGGTGTGCCAGAATACTCCTCGTTAAACTTGGTAGACGATCGGAGGGACTCGTCCGTGGTAGCTGTTTCCATCCTCTTCAACACCGCAATATGCTTATCAGAACTCATTTCTTTGAAGTCCATTTCTAGAAACAGAAATAGAGGTCCATTATCCAAGATCGGTGGGTTTTTTTTAAAAAACATTTCAGTTGTAGCACGGAGTCTGGAATTGTGCTCGGTATATGGCAATAGGCTCACCCCCTATTACATGGGACTCATAACAAAAATAGTGAAAAGTGGGTGTTACTTATGTGTGCACCTATGCCTATCCCTTCGGGGATAAAAGGCGTGATGTTATGATGATGATATTCAAAATCGTTTTTTTTTTTTGCTGAAATCTGTAGTTTGATATGAGCAACTAGCTTTACTTGGGGCCTGGCGGACTGATATATTTTATTTTTGTTTCAGTTTCAAAGTATCTGGTTTTGACGTTACTTCATTTAGTTACTTTTGGGCCACCGTGTATTTCCATTGAAAAAAAATGAGACAATAGCACAATATAATAATATGCGTATTAATAACAGCTTACTGCAATATTCCTCAACTTAGTCTCTTAGACACTAAAGGTGCAATAGGGTAGATGACTAATTTTTATTTTGATGTCCGTCTGCTAGATTATTTTAAAACATAAGCCGCGTATTTTTCGGAAACGAATACTTTCGACGATATATTAATTTGAAATGTCGCGTGACGTCACTTCTATGTACTTTTTATACGTAGAAATGACGTTTTAGCCCCCACTCCTAAACTTTGATTCGTTATATCTAAGTATCATTTTATTATACAACAAAATACGTGTCTAATATTGTTTCATTACCTAACTGACGGACAAATTAGATTTATAATTTTCATCAATTTCCACATATAAATAAGTTATCGAAAAGGCTCAGTTCTGCAGCATATGCCGTTAAAAAAATTAGAAATCTAACCGATGTAGATACAGCGCGATTAGTATACTTTAGTTATTTTCATAGTGTTATGTCATATGGTATTCTCTTATGGGGGAATGCTGCTGACATTCAATCTATCTTTGTTCTGCAGAAGAGGGCCATTCGATCAATTTATAATCTTAGTCCGAGGTACTCTCTCAGGGAACTATTTAAAGAAATTAATATAATGACGGTTGCTTCTCAATACATTTATGAAAATTTAGTATATGCTCATAAAAACAAAAGTTTATTTAAAAAACATAGTGATATACATAATATAAACACGAGAAATAAAGACAAATATGTTGTTCCCACTACTAGACTAAAGAAAATAAGTGGTTCGTTTAGATGTCAGAGTATACGCTTTTACAATAAGATTCCCAGCCATATCCAAAATTTGAGTCTAAATAAATTTAAAAATGTCATTAAAGATAAATTTTATAGTAAAGCTTATTATAAAATAAAAGACTACCTAGATGATAGTCTGGCTTGGGAATAAGCTGCTGTAACGTCCACACAGGTCATGTTGACATGTTTGTAACATATAGTTACATTTCTTTTTTTATATGCAATTTGACATTATTGTTTTAATGTGACATTGTTTTTCATATGTTGTTCTAACTTGACATTTACTTTTTATTTAACAATTGTTAGTGCTAGGACCGTGCGAGACTTTGCCTCACCATTTCTTTTCTAATTACCCTTTTTCTGACAGTTTGAGTATTTGTGCGACCCACGCAAATGTTCTTTAGGTTGGTATTGTTCGTCGAATCAGTCAGCCTCACCTGTTAATTGAGCTGACTGTAAACCGACACATGCGTACTGCCTTCAGAACGGGTCCGCTCAAACTGTTGTGGTTCTTTCCTCAAAAGCCCACTACAGAAAGAACTGGCACGGTTCTCACACATAATCTGTTATACATATTGTCTGGACTTTAAAAGAGACAGACCTCTGAGTTTGTTTCGGCATTTCTTCTCAGAGTAGTCAGTTAGGAAATGTCGACCTCATCGTTCGCTTGATAAAATTGACGTGTAAAAGTGCTGCCTTGTAGCCTATTTGCAGAAATAAATTCACTTGTTTCACTTGTTTCACTTGTTTCACTTGTTTCACTTGTTTCACTTGTTTCACATACCCTGTCATCATCCCTATTAAGTGCTGTTACAGTCTTAGAAACTACTTAAAAAGACAATCAAAGATCTAAAAAGCTAATGTAGGAGGTACCAATGAAAAATAAAGTTATCATCTACATGGTTAAAATTAACACAATAAATAATTCTCTCACCAGCCAACTCCTTAGAAGTCTTCTCATTACCTCCAAATTCTTTTGGAAGGTGCTCTTTAGGTATATGTTCATATAACGACTCGACACAGTCATGTACGACAAGTCTTTGAGCCAGTTTACCAGTGAGAGCTTGCTTCATTACTACCAAAACGGTATCAAAGAACTTAGAACCACTTATGAGGTGCAACTTCTTCATTCTTTGACCTAAAGCTTCCTGAAATACAATATTTTTTTATATGCATACATATTTGACTAGCAACATCCGCGCGGTTTCACACGCTCTGCTCAGTTCCTATTGGTCGTAGCGTGATGTTTTATAGCCTATAGCCATTCTCGATAAATGCGCTATCTATCACAAAAAGAATTATTCAAATCAGACTTGTAGTTACGGAGATTAGCGCGTTCAAACAAACAAACTCTAAAATAGCATGAGCCGACGTTTGACCACTATCTCGTCTGGTGATGAGCGATGATGATATGATGCGGTCCACGTTGGAGCTTTGCTTGAGCAAACTATTCACGCGGGCCTTGAAGACACCCTTCAGGAAACACAGACTGGGACAAATTCCACTCCTTAGCAGTACGCACAAGGAAGTTTGATCCAAAACGCTTCGTGTGTGTGGCTGGGACATCTCATCGATCAGTTGTTATAGCAGACCTAGACTAAACTGACAAAATCCTGCTGTATTTCCTTCCTAAGAGGAAAAGAGGATTAGCATCATTTAACAAGTTTAAGTGCAATGCCATTTAGCGGTCGGTGACGCTTCGCCGATTGTCTTGTGCTACGATGATGGAAAGCAATGATGAATGATGAAATGTATCTCCGGTTCAATTATGGTGGCAAACCAGCAGACAAATAATTTGATGGTAAGCAATCGGCGCGAGACGCCGTCCATGGACAAACGTAACCCATCTCCCACGTATTAAACATATAAAAATACATCTATATATTATGACTTATTTACTTACCGAAATCAACGTAAGGCCCTTATGTATAGTAACTGGATTCAATGTCTTCACAGTTCCCAGAGTAATGCTCCTACAATCTCCAACCAGCTCGTAACCATGACAGTAATCATTATGCATCATGTATGTAATCAACTAAAACAATACAATTATCATCAAAATCAATAGCACACTGCTGATGCCCACCCAGTGGCCTTAGAGAAGACGATGGCACAGTGCGCAGTGGTCTCGTGCCGAGGCGCAAGCCAGGCTCAAGAGAGATGCGCGTCGCTCAAGACATGTGCCGTAACAGGCTTTGCAGTAGTGTGGCAAGTCAGGGGCCAAGGCAGGTCTGTTAGAGGACCTAGTATCCCTTACAGGTGCTGAGGGTGGCCAAGGGAGTGGTTTTAGTAAGGTAAACATCCCATACTTCTTAGTCTTTTATCCCCAAAACGCTGGGAGCCTTTCAAAGGTTCTCCCGTCATAAAAAGGGTGCTATGCAACGGAAGGGCGTGCCGTAGACTCCACGCTTTAGAAGCGGATTATAAATCACAGTTTAAAAGGTTCAGGTTAATTAAACCGTCAAACACCAAGCGGTCACCGGTGACCGCAACCTATTGTTCTATAATTGTGTTTATAATGACGGTACTCGACGAGTTAAAGATCGCTGGTGTCCTATCTCTGTTAAATGTATGTACAGTCCCTTAATAAAGAATAATTAATGTAGTTTCAGATGTTAAAGTTTGTAAGTAAAAAATAAATTGAACACTACTTTACTTACCGCAATCGTATATCTATAAAAAGATATCAATTCGAATTTGTCGTCATCTACTCCTGTAACCCTAGATATTATAACTCGGTAGTTGTCGGCACCTGGCTTCGGCAATATGAAAGTATCGCTAAAAAAATTTAAAACACAATAATTAAACATAAATACTAGGTGTAGTTTTGAAACTCGGGGGCATGTCACAGAAGTCATAAAGGTTCAATGTAAGAGACAATTTTTGGCCAGTAGTTAAAAATACGGCTATAACAAATCGTTTAAGTTCGACAGTATTTCAGAATAAGCGACAGCAATGTTTCTTATTGGAGTTTTATGGAATTAGGAATAATATCAATTACGTGTTTGAGTTTGTGTGTGTTAAGCTGCGTTATATAGCTAGTTACAAGACGGCGGCGTGTACTTCGCACTTTCGGATTTCCGTAATTTCAGAAAAATGTAAAATATTTACCTAAAATTTTTTTACTAATTTGGACTCAGAATTGATATCCAAGTTACCTCTTAGAAAATTAAGCGGCTTTAAAGCAACACCTTATATAGAAAGGTTATCGACAAAAATAAACAGATAAAAGGTGATAAGTTCTAGCGCAATTAAATGCTAGCCAAAAACATGAATATAAAATCCCTACGTACAACTGTTGGGCAGTAGCCGGTCAAAGATAACCAACTGGTTAGAAGCGAACTCGCCCTTTTCTAATAAAGGGATCATCACGTCTTGTTCTCAGAAGAACTAGTACTATTAAGCTCTTTTTCTTGGTTATGCATGGAATTTAAGAGCTCATGAGTTTAAGTTTAACTTACCAAATATTAAACAGGTGAACAAACTCATTTCTAATATCAAAGTTCTGCAAGAACTCTGGCATCTGGTTGGTGTAAGTGCATAGTTTGTCGAAGCGCTGCTTCGCTCTCTCGATGGACCCTTTGCAGTAGATGAGGTAGCGCTCGAGAAAATCTCGGTCTATAGAAGCAAATGAAAAACGATATGTCCAAAATCATTAACATTCATTTAAATTTCTTAAAAACCTGAATTGCTTTTAAAAAATAGCTCTTTTAACAATTGAATTTTTGATTATTTATTTGACAGTGTCATGGTGGCCCGGAGGTTTAAGACAACCGCTTCTCATACATGATATCGAGGGGTAACGGGCTATTTGGTTTAAGCGACATTTTTGCAACTTTACAGGAGAGCCTTTTAAAGTTTGAAATTTCGAAAAAAAATTCATAACAAAAACGCTTCTGCAGATATTTGAACGGGGTAAATTGCATTGAAATTTAAATAAAAATATCTAGTTGCTGATGCTAATTCCAAATAAAGCGGACCTTTAATTACAAAGATAAATGTCGCTTAATACAATCTGCCCTTTTTTAGAGTCAGGAAAAATGATTTAAGTGACTTCATAACTACAATTGGCTACAAGGGAAAAAAATTAAGCGACGATGCACTCTATTTACAGAGTAAGCCAAAAAGTATGAAGTAACGAAACCCAAAATAAATAGAAGCAAGCTATTTATCTCAACTACCAATTTAGACTAAAATGAGTAACAGGCTAATTTACTTATGTGACATATAACATTGAAATTGTATCGTTAAATGTTTATGTTTATTTACATCTAAGACGATTAATGGCTGATAAAACAACCTGGATATATCGAAACAACCGAAAATCTCAGGTGCTTACATCGGATAAATAAACACAACACAATATCAAAGTATTTATTTAGATTAATAATAACAGTCTGCATAGGAACAACGATTATATTATTATTTATTCAGCAAAATCAGATAAATTAATGGGTTATTTACTGAAATTGCCGTTTTGTATGAAAAAATTTAAACGATTTTTTTCATGTATTTTTTATTTGTATTTATCGAAGTAATCACCCATGTAATCAATGCATCGTTGCCAACGCAGTGGCAGTTTATTGGGCATCAATAAACTGCCACAAAATACTTCTTAAACAAATCAGCTGGACGGGTGGCAACAAATTCTTTAAATGCATTTTGTACTGCCTCTCGGGTAATGAATTTTTTTCCCGCGAAGAAGTTATTCAAATTCTGGAAAAGAAGTAGTCTGGTGAGTAGGGTGGATATTGGAGAGCTTCCAACCCCAGTTCTTGTAACTTGGAGACCATCTGTTGTGCAGCTTTAGGTCGCGCGTTGTAATGCAGGAGCAATGGAGATGAGCGATTGACCAGTGCTGGTTGGAGATGTGTCAGCTTCTCCATCATTGTGTTCAGTTCTTCACATTACACATCCGCAGTAATGCTCACTCCGTTTGGTAAGAACCTGTGATGAATCAGACTGGCGCTAGACCATCAGTGACCATCACTTTTCTAGGAGTAAGTTTTCGTTTCGGGTATTGTTTAGGTGCTGAACTAACTACTACTACAACTATGTTGAGCAGTGCAAGGCACTGCTCGATGCATACTTAGCTCTGGCGATCATTGAGTTTGTGGGACACCCACTTGTCAAGTTTTTTTACCTTGCCAATTTGACGTAAATGGACCAATATTGTTTTGATGCTAACGTCGAAAGCTGTTGCTAAATCAGCCGTAGATTGTATGTCATCAGCTTCCACAATAGCCTATTGTCACCAAAGTCTTCGGACGACCGCGAGGTTGATCTTGAAATTAAAGTACTTAGGATTCAATTTCGATGAGCGTTTTACGTAAACACTGGCGGTGAGTGCGCGTCCCGTCTGTCTTCGACGCATTCTGGAGTGACTGAAGCGCCAGCGCACGATAGTCCAGTTGGATGATCACGATTTTTAACACCCGGGCGATGAAATAAATATAGTATCATATGACATGATTGAAATGTACCATATTAAAATTTAGTGATTTAAAGACCGATTCATATTTTTATGAATACTGGCAAAATGTTTCAATATCCATTATTAATGTTATCATCTGTATAAAACGACATGCATTTTAAAAAAAAGGAGGGCTAAATGATTTATGACTAAACAAAATATCTGAACGAAAACGACTATTTGGTTTAAGTAGCACCCTGCGTGGAAAATAAAAGCAGCTAGAAGTGTTTAAGAGACGAACCATGTCGTATTTGGGTGACGGATAAATGTTTTAAGCGACAACACACCGTGTGATTAGTGGGAAGTCAAAATGATTCAAGTTACTTGCTAGTAAAAATTAGAAACAGGAAAAACGCTTTAACTCATTTTGACTTATTAATTAGAGATAGGGTGACTGGTTTATGTCTCGGTTATTAATATGATGGTATGGTTCAAGTACATAATTTAATAAAAAATGCGAAATCCATGTCGTTTAATACACTGTCACTTTGGAAACAACACGAAAATAGAATTGTTTGAAACGCCAAAAAAGTGCTCAGATTTTAATGAAACCGGCATCAATCGACGGAGAAAAATTCGCTGATTCCAAATATATATATAACTCAATATCGCCCAAAATGTCGCTTAAACCAAATAGCCCGTTACCCCTCGATATATACATGAAATAAGTTTCGAACCCAATGTGACTTTATCCGAGTTTTTTTGTATATTCTAGGATTATTCAGACAACACTGACAAACGGTGATGGAAAACATCGTAAGGAAACCTGGGCTATGATTTGAATGACTAATTATAAGTTTGAAATTGTCAAACTGCATTGAGCAAACGTGGTGATGAATGTCCAAACCATCTGCGTGTGAGAAGAGGCTTTGCTCAGCAATGGGCATTATAGGCTGTTGATGGAAATATGTTTTTAATATACTAGCGCTGGTGACAACACTTTCAATATCAGTCCAATATTTTTTATCATTAAACCAAGATATCCAGCCCAATCTAGCTTAACATTAGCATTTGAAGTCACTCACCAAATTCTTTCACCATAAAATGAGGCTGTTTGCTGATCCAATCCTCAAATTGATCCAAGTCTTGTTTTAACTTATTGACATCATCATAACCAAGAGTTTTCCTCACATTTAATAATTGATTTTTATTAAATTCAAAAATTGGGCATGGTTTCAATGCTTCCATTTTGTTCGTGTTAATAGCAAAGGTTATCATTCACTGATCGATTGGGAAAGCATCTTGAGTTTTATATTAATTGCGTAAACATAGCGTGATAATAAATCCTTTTTTAATTGTTGTAAGGGGTGTGTTACATTGGCTATAATGCTTTTATTATCTTTAAGTACTAAATGTTATTTGTTAGCTGTGATTTCAGTGAAAAGAGAACCCTATAGCGCTCTCCCGTCTGGTAAATTTAGACACATAAAATATCACTCAGTTGTGACATATAAGAAGGACAATAATTAATAACAGATAAGTAAGCCTTTTCCTACGTAAAAGATAACATAATTCATTATTTTTGGTACAGTCTCGTCTTTTTAACTAGGGATTAATATGATGACCATTTTATACAAAATTCCTAGTTTGTCTAATGTTTGTAGCAAAAAATGAAATAGATACATAAATCAACGGGTTATTTAAGTTACAGAGCATCCTCATTCGAGCCGCGAAAGCCACCGAGTCAACAACTCCTGAGGGTTATTCTATATAAAAGTTTCAAGTTTATCGAAGAGCGCTGTTGCTTGGTCTGTAGTCTTTCGGATGATTCTTACTATAGGTACTTACATATTTTGTATACTCTGCACTCAATGTTTTTGTTTTAAAAACTTTGCTCCCAGCCTCGACATGTGTCCTGTGTCTTGGGTGCATTTACAAACATACAATTCACATAGAAGTCTGTGATCAATATAAAATATTCATTTTTTTCCTTTCTTTAACGTTATGGGAATCAAGCGGGGTACGGGGGCTCTCATCGGCTAAAATCTGAAATCCTCTGCCTGTGGTAATTACCTAGATTGGCCTTATGGAATCACCACACCCGGCAGGCGGCAACCCGGTAGAAAATATAGTCTTTTCTTTCTCCTCTTACAATAATGTACAATATCTTCTGATTTATTTCAATGCGGTAACCAAGACAGTCATTCATGTCCCTGGGACGCGCTGGACTTCAGTGTTCCGGTGTTTTCATGGTTGTATCTACTATTCACCCTGGCTTACAGGAGTTGCAGCGGTTTTGGGAGGTTGTAGCGGGCTTGTGTCATAAAAAAAGGGTTCATCCACCGCTTTGTTTGCTGCAGGTCCCGCCACGTTTGCGGCGTTGAAGGCTGCTTCTCTTCCTCAAGTGGCGCGTGGAACACTACACTAACGCCTACTCTCGCCTATACAGGACGCCTAAGTCCCCCACCCCAGTCAGTTACTCGCATTATAAACTTACCCTAACAATAAATTAAAAAGGTGTATTTATTATAATCAGTACCTAATTTATGTTTTTGTATTCATGAAATCATCAAGGGATAATAAATAATTATTTAAATCATTTGTTACTTAAAATCGTTGAATACTTCTTCATGATATTTCTTGTAATTTATTATATTTTTCTTTATCTCATGTTGTGGAATAATTAATAAAATATTGGAAAAACTTCAGTTTTGATAAACAAACGTTTGCCAGTGACTGTAATTCCTGAAGGGTACCTATTAGTCTTTTTTTTAAGGGGGGAAAATCATCGAATGACTGCTCCCGTCTGGATGAGTCGGGAGGGAGTGTCAGACTTTTACTGACTAAAAACCATCCCGTTCCTTCTCTTGCACGTCAAGCCTCGGTTACCCGTTAGGTTCTCCGCGACTACCTATTAGTCTAGACTTAAAACCGCCAGAAAACTTATTACTAAATAGTTTTATACAAAATATTAAATAGGGTATAAAATCGGTTCGATCGCTCACAAACATACGTACAGGTCAAACTGAGAACCTCCTTCTTGTTTTTTTAATTCGATTTAAAAATATTGATGAGTTTGTATAAAAGTTTTATCGTAATTGTTACACCACACATGCGGTTAAATTATTCGTTATTTTAGATAGTTGCGTAATGTAAGTATTTACTTATTTTTTAAGAACAATGACCTTTTCACTGTAAGTAAAAAATATCTACTACTTACCTATTGTACTTACAATAGTGTCTGTGTTGAAAGTATCATGCAAATCACCTTAATATTACAATATTTTGTTAGTTTTCCTGCGTCTTTGGTCAAACTGTGAAGTGTGATAACCGAACAAATTCCAGTCCTGATTCAATTAATATTTGTCTTCAAAGATTTTGTATTTATTTATTTTTCAAATATTTCTTACTGGGTGTTATTCTAGTGGTTTTTGAGGGAAGTCAAACTGATCGTCCCGTCAAAGAGTAAATCCAAGATGACGGCTGCACGAAATGTTTAACTTTTCGTCAGTCGACAACACCGTTTTGGAGACTCGTGTGGTGTAGTAGTCGTAAGATATATATTAAGCATCCTATATTCAATATATTCAGTGTATTCTCGGAGCTCGTTGGTTTCATTACACTCATCCAAACACCCAACCTTACATGGCGACCCTGCCAGGATCATAGCACGGCACAGGGCCGAGCGCGTGTGCTCCATATACGGGCAAAATATTCTAAACAATAAGTGGAAAGTTACAGGCGTCTTTAAAATGAATAGAATAACCTCGGAGCTCACGGCGTATAGGTACAACACGTTTTATTGTTGCGCATCTTTGTTCGTCGTTGTTGGTGAAAAATGGGCGGTTCTAGTTCCAAAGAAGTCAAAGAACAAGTGGTGATTGCCCAGACAGCTGGAGTCGGTAGCAATACGGCTCGTGCGCAGCAACTTCATGAGACCACTAATGTAATTCTGGTGGTTATTTGCACCGTTTTATTGATTGGATTGCTGCTGGTAACATATGGGTGAATTTCCCAAACGACTTTTTTTTTGTCTTCATTGAAATTAGTATTTGAAAAAAGGAATATTGTTCTGTACTATTTTTTTTTGTATTCATTTGGTATTTATTGGGTTGTGGCATAAAATATTATTTGTCTAAGTCTATTTACAAAGGTAAAAATAAATACATAAACCTCTATTTTTGTCACATCGGTGCTGTCCCTCTACTTTTTTTACAAGCAAAAACGCTTATATCGTTATAAAAATAAGTAACTTAAGAATATAACTTATTCTATTTCATAGAATATTAGTTTTATTATTAATATGTAGCATATTTTATTACGTAATTCATAATATTTATTACTGAGAGGCATAAATGTACTTGTCTCGCAAAATTTTGTCATATCGCTGCACAAAAGTAATTTAAACCTAACTTTGCATCGATGAGTCCGACAGTGTCCCCACCCCAATTTTATTTCCCTCGTTAGTGTGTGCTAGTGCGCAGTCAGGACGGACGTGTGTCAAATCGCTGCATATTCCCGCCAATTACGTAAGTACGACATTTCAGTTACTTCCAAGCAATTATTTTATATTATCGGTGGTTGCATTTTTCTAGTGTAATGTGAAGTTTTATTACGATTGTTTGGTTCTAACAGACATAGTAAGTAAATTAGCATCATTATAGGTACTTGAATTTAGCCTAAATATTATATATTTTTCATAATTTTCAAAAAAGTCGATAATTTCTCACGTCGCTGTTCTCATATCGCTGTAATCGGTGGTCTTTTTTACCACCGATGTGATAATTTACACCGATGTGATAAGAAAAATCAATCGGTGTCTTAAATATCATATCGGTGTTTTGATTCATGATCGACGCATAGTTTTGTCACATCGGTGGATTGTTTTATCACATCGGTAGATCATATTATCACCTCGGTGTAATTTTATCATATTGGTAGACATAGTGTCATTTCATTAAAGTACTTAAACAAAAAAACAATGGAGCATACCTACAACCATACATTATACATACATATACACATATTATATTTTTTAACTTTCATAAATATTAACTTGTGTGCAGCTCGTGCCGCACACAATTCGTTCGAGTAATTTTGTTTAATATTAATTTTGTTTAAGAATGCTGAAATCAAAACTAAACGAGGAG